AAAAATTAGAAAGTTCAGAGACCAATTAAAGCTTCGACTATTTTTAACTTTAGAAATTAACTTCTTCAACAACACCAAGTGTTTATAAAATAAAAATACGAAAAAAAAAAGAAAAATATGAAATGTATATTAATCTTCATAAAAGTTAATGACGACTTAATGGACAGCTTTGTGAGGAACCATAAGTGTTGGTAATAATTGTAACCCATACAAAATTGTTCTTCTTTTTCTCTCGTCGCCATTATATTATACGCCTTGAATGGAAAGTAAAAAAGAACCCATTAATGTCTGGAACCAGAAAGGAGGGGAATAAAGGACGGAACAATACATCCGTTTTAGTAACAGCAATTTCTTGTCCGGTATCTAGAGACGCGTCCATGAAATGGAACCACGTCGCACAAGAAACTGGGCGCGGCAAAAATTACTCGTGCTACGTGTATCCACAAAGCACGAAACCATTTTTCCATGGCCTTTATTCTTATTCTCGAATCAACTAATTTTACTCTGGCATGAATCCAACTACAGTTTTCTGTGAATTCATGTAAAACACCGTTTTCTCCTTCTAGCCGCTCCAAAAATTCCTCCAGTTACCAAATTTCACGCGGCTAAAAATTTCTGCTTGGACACGCGTGTCAAAAATGAGCAAAAAAAAATGTTTGGTATTGTTTACTAGGTGCTAGGAGATTTTGTAAGATCCTCACGTTGAATTAAAATAAAACTTGCAAAATGCAATTTATTAATTATTCCATTATTTTATTATGATTTTACCACATACCATCGTAGAGTTAATTCGTAATTCAAGAAATTTTCGAAGAGGTCACTTAGAAAATGTTATTCTCAAAAAATAATTGAATAATTGATAAATTTTTAACGAAAGTGTTTCATTTCCGCTGAAAATTTCCGCGCCCACTCGACATTTCAAATAATTCAATATACATAATTTATATCAAATTTACAATTTTCTACAAATGTCGATATTTCATTTAACAAGAAACATCAAAACATCCCATAAATAATTAAAACCGAATAAAACTAAAGTACTAAAAAAAAAAGAAATTTGACTCTTCCATCGAAAGCAATGTAATTTTCGTCCATATATCTTCACCAATCTCTAGAAATCCGTTAACTACCATTAACCAAAAAATGAAAGTACAAATCACCGGTCGTAATTCACCGTTGTTTTCGATTATTAGTTTCTTCTTCGGGAGAGTATACGGACCGACGAATAATTACATCTGCGCGATGCACGGTTAATTACAAACCGTAACCCGTCGAAATTCACGTTGAAATCGACGATTATCCCCAACCTGGGTTCCAAAGAGACTCGGCGAAGGCAAAAGCTACGCCATTGGCAGGCAAAAGCCGAAGCGACACAACGTGACTAACGAAAGACGTTCGATGGACGCGACTGATACAGTATAAAGAACGCGTGTGTATCGGCCGACGAATAAATGCAAGATTAATGGCCGATTTCACCGTGGTTCGACTAAATTTAGAAACCACGGTGATTTATAGGATTTAACCGTACCGCTTCGAGAAGCCGAGATATTATTGTCGTATCAATTAAACGCACGCGTTAATCGGACGTTACGCTTTTACGTTTGATTTCCTCTTCCGTGTGCCGTGGCTCACTTAGCGTCAATTATCGGACGGTTTAAAGAACCATTCTTTCCACTGTTTTACACGTATCGTTTTCTGTATGAGAAAGCTATCGTTTAGTTCCTTATGACGAATTGAAATTTTAACACCAGATACATTTCAACTGAAATTTTTGCTACTATCCCGCGATAAAAAATTTGATTTTTCTGGGAGTAGGATTGACTTTAAAAATGGAAGTGTACGAATAGTATGATGATTATTGTACTATAGTGCATTGGTACATGAAGAAATTGAGATATATTTGGACTGAAACTTTTACTCATATCTGACGATAGAAATTTTTTTTTTCTCGAATAAGATTAACGCGTAAAAATTGGAAGTGTACGAATAGTATGATGATTACTATGCTTTAACGCGTTGGTGAATGCAGAAACTAGGATAATTTGAATCGAAATATTTGCTATCTCGCGATACAAAATTTGATTTTTCTGGGAGTAGGATTGACTTTAAAAATGGAAGTGTACGAATAGTATGATGATTATTGTACTATAGTGCATTGGTACATGAAGAAATTGAGATATATTTGGACTGAAACTTTTACTCATTTCTGACGATAGAAATTTTTTTTTTCTCGAATAAGATTAACGCGTAAAAATTTGTACTATAGTGCATTGGTACATGAAGAAATTGAGATATATTTGGACTGAAACTTTTACTCATATCTGACGATAGAAATTTTTTTTTTCTCGAATAAGATTAACGCGTAAAAATTGGAAGTGTACGAATAGTATGATGATTACTATGCTTTAACGCGTTGGTGAATGCAGAAACTGAGATAATTTGAATCGAAATATTTCTTATCTCGCGATAAAAATTTTCATTTTTCTGGGAATAGGATTAACGCGTAAATATTGGAAGTGTATGAATAGTATGATGATTACTATACTTTAACGCGTTGGTGAATGCAAAAACTAAGATAATTTGAATCGAAATATTTCTTATCTTGCGATAAAAAATTTGATCTTTCTGGGAGTAGGATTGACTTTAAAAATGGAAGTGTACGAATAGTATGATGATCACTGTACTATAGTGCATTGGTACATGAAAAAATTGAGATATATTTGGATTGAAATTTTTACTCATATCTGACGATAGAAATTCTTTTTTTTCTCGAATAAGATTAACGCGTAAAAATTGGAAGTGTACGAATAGTATGATGATTACTATACTTTAACGCGTTGGTGAATGCAGAAACTGAGATAATTTGAATCGAAATATTTCTTATCTCGCGATAAAAATTTTGATTTTTCTGGGAATAGAATTAACGCGTAAATATTGGAAGTGTATGAATAGTATGATGATTACTATACTTTAACGCGTTGGTGAATGCAGAAACTGAGATAATTTTAATCAAAATATTTGTTATCTCGCGATACAAAATTTGATTTTTTTGGGAATAGAATTAACGCGTAAAAATGGAAGTGTACGAATAGTATGATGATCACTGTACTATAGTGCATTGGTACATGAAAAAATTGAGATATATTTGGATTGAAATTTTTACTCATATCTGACGATAGAAATTCTTTTTTTTCTCGAATAAGATTAACGCGTAAAAATTGGAAGTGTACGAATAGTATGATGATTACTATACTTTAACGCGTTGGTGAATGCAGAAACTGAGATAATTTGAATCGAAATATTTGCTATCTCGCGATACAAAATTTGATTTTTCTGGGAATAGGATTAACGCGTAAAAATTGGAAGTGTACGAATAGTATGATGATTACTATACTTTAACGCGTTGGTGAATGCAAAAACTGAGATAATTTGAATCGAAATATTTGCTATCTCGCGATACAAAATTTGATTTTTCTGGGAGTAGGATTGACTTTAAAAATGGAAGTGTACGAATAGTATGGTGATTACTATACTTTAACGCGTTGGTGAATGCAGAAACTGAGATAATTTGAATCGAAATATTTCTTATCTCGCGATAAAAATTTTCATTTTTCTGGGAATAGGATTAACGCGTAAATATTGGAAGTGTATGAATTGTATAATAATTACTATACTTTAACGCGTGGGTAAATGCAGAAACAGAGATACATCTGAATCGAAATATTTGTTTTCTTTTTTTTCTCGAATAAGATTAACGCGTAAAAATTGGAAGTGTACGAATAGTATGATGATTACTATACTTTAACGCGTTGGTGAATGCAGAAACTGAGATAATTTGAATGAAAATTCTTACTCCTAATTCACAATAAAAAACTTTCTTTTCCTTCGAGTAAAATAAACGCGTAAAAATTGGAAGTGTAACGAACGACATAATACTCACTACACTATAACGCATCGGTAGATAAACATAAAAACAGAGATACCTTCGAAACGAAATTTTTGCTCGTATCTCGCGATAAAAAAAATGTTGTTTTCCTCCGAAACGAATTAACGCGTAAAAACTCCAAGTGCAATCGATAATATACCTTAATGCGCCCGGTAAATGCACAAACTGGATAATCCAAGTACTGTAATTGATAATAAAGACAGAAATAAATGCACGTGTCAGATATTATTTCGCCGGTAGTATTTACACGACCACGTGATAGGTGATAAATCTTGTTTCACCGAGATCTCTCTCTCTCTCTCGTTACTTAACGATTTTAATAATCGATATAGGTGTCCGTTCGTTTATGAAATGATTAACATACCGCTGCGTCAGAATTTGTCTTTCAATTTTAAAAGACACGCGATAATTGTTTTACCCACTTGTCGTACAAAATAAACTTCTGTTGAA